CCCAGTCCTTGGGAGCTTTGGGCTAGAGGAACAGGAGTTGTAGGCCACCGGGTGCTACATCGTCAGACACTGCCTCAAAATGAATGTGGCTGAGGACAGCTCAGTGGAAGAGCATTTCCCCAGCATGTGTGAGATCCTGGGTCCGATCCTTAGTCCCACAGAAGTAAAATTGTAGAAAGGCTTTCCACATGTTTTTTTTTTTTTTGATTGTTTGTTTTTATTTTTGCTTTGTTGAGATAATATCACTAAGAAGCTTTGCCCGGCCAGGGAGTAGAGCTTCTCCTGCCTCTGCGTCTGAGTCAGAGGACCAGGCACCGAGCCACCAGGGTCAGCTTACAACCCTCACGTTACAAAGAGTGTCTGCTGCTTTCCATGAGGGTAAACTTGGATCTTAATTTCCACAGATTCCTAGGTCTTCGTTGGAGCTGTTTTTGCTGCTTGGATGCTATGCTTCTTCCTGGCTAGAAGAGGGGGAAGTAGCCAAAGGGAGAGAACGGGAGATGGGAAGCAGAGCCTTTCCCCACCCCCCTCATTATGAGAGGCTACCAACAGAACACTAGAGACCAGTGTATTGGAGCTGAGGCCTAGGGAAGTAGAGCACCAGGTGCAGCCCTGTGGTAACCTCATTACAGGAACCATCTGCTGCAGCACAAACACTATTTTAAGGTAGCTGGGGGGTGGGCATGGGTGGGTAGCTGGGTGGGGTTACAAGGATTTTCCTTGGAAGTTGTATCTAGGAATTCCACCTCCATCCAGGCCACATTTTCCTAAGCCCCATGGCCACTTTCTGTGACTCCCAGAGGCTCCTCTAGCCATGAGAAGATAGGAGTAGCCTATCCCAGAGCTCAGTTGACGCTCAGCCAGCTGACACCTGTGACCCTTTGGAGAAACTGTCATCCACAGAATAGAGTTGATAGAACCCATCCCCCACCCCAACCTCATTCCCATCTTAGGGTGGGGCTCAGAAGGGTTAGAGGCCTTTGTTCTGTTTTCTTTGCAGAAGAGTAAAATCGAGGACTCAAATTTGAACCCCAACACCTTGGCTTGGTTGGGGAATGTAGTGCAGAAAACTCGGTTAGGCTCTGACCCATGGAAGCCAGCAAACAAGTTCAGAGGTGGGAGGAGCAGTGGCCAGCGGTCTGGATGTGCACAGGCTAGCCTCCTGATTGCCGGGCTTGCCCGTCATTAGCCTCCAGCACATCTGGATAGTTGATAATGGAGGAGGCCACCAGGTCCATGAGAAGGCCAGGGACGGAGGATAATCAGATGCCCCTCCCCTCTCTTGGGCTGTCTGACATTCAAGCACTGCTACCTCGTGACAGCCAGGCTATAAGTGGCCCCAGAAATCCCACTTCCCTTGGTTCAAATCCTTATCTTGCCCCTTCCTATACTGTATCACAATTGGCCTATGAGATCTTTCCACAAGGGCAAAAGTGATGGCCTATCACTTTCAAGATCAGGTGATGAGACAGATTGCTTTGGTCTTATCAATCCTGCCAGTCACAGGGGAGCCAGCTGCCATGGCACATCCTGCCAGTCCGAGCACTAAAGAGGGAGAATTGAGGCCTCTGGCCCTCAGCCACCTGAGTGAGCCTTTTAGGAAGCAGATCCCTCAGCCCAGGCCAAGCTTGCCCTTGACCACAGCTTTGGCCATGCCTTAGAGCAGCCACATGACAGACCCTGTACCAGTCCTGTTCAGCTAGCATGATTTCTGGCCATGTGAGGATTATCAAGTTTGGGGGTGACTCTTAAATTGCAGCAATAGATAGCTATAATATACACACTTTGCTTCTGAGGTGATTCCCCACCTACCCCCTAAATCCCCCTAGGCAAATTTCCTCGTCACATCCCTTCCCCTCCAGGCTCCCAGCCCAGAGCACTGGCTTATAGATAAACTGGTAGGTTCCATTTCTAATCCCACAAAAACAAACAACCACTTGGGGACACCTAAAAAACTAACCCAGCTCCCAAAGACCTTGAGCGGACATAGAAACGGGTAGAAGCTACCCTGCTGGCTGGAGGGTGGGGCTTTGTGGGGGGGGAGTGGGAGCAGGAACATCTCCCCCCCAAGAAAGACCCCACAGCAAATTATACCCAAGGCCCCAGCTTCTCTCGCTCTGTCCTTTCCTTTTTCTTCTGTGGGAGACACAGGAGCAAGGTGTCCCTCCACACTGTCTTTCTCCCCTTCATAAAAGAGACGGGGAAGTCCTTGCATGAGCCCTAGTGAACCTATGACAACTCCTCTCATAAACCCAAAGGGCATAGGTTATTATCTAGTACAAAGCAAAAAATGCCACCCACAGAACTTTCCAGGAAACCCCTGCCCCGTGAATACATGGTGGCTTCCCCTGAGGCCATGGGAAGAAGGTCTGAAGCAGGGCTGCTAAGAAAGCCACTTCAGCAGCTGTGTCTGGGCCTCAGTCAACGTCCTCCAAGTCTGGGTAGGACCTGAGACCTCGCACTGTGATGAGTATGGAGGCCCAGGTGGGCATTTGCCTCAGATAACTTTGTCAGGGAATTTAGCTCTAGGCAGGAGAGCAAATTATTGAACACAAGAGTGAAGGAGCCTGCAGGAGGCTCATGGTGGCATATATACTGCTGTGACAAACAGCCTACCAGGTGTATGTGCAAAAACAGGAGGTTGAAGAGCTCTGTCTCTGTGGACACACAAGGGCCAGAGACGTGGAAACAGAGAATGAAAAGTAACACTATTACTTTGTGTTGAGCCATAGGCAAGGGGGAGCCCCTGATGCCTGAATAATAAGCCATTTAAGGCAATCTGAGGTTCTGAGGCTCAGGATCGTGGTTGGAACTCTTGCATTGTGACAGGTGGAAACAGTGGCACAGAAAGGAAGTATAAGGACAAGCACCCTATAAAGTGAAGTCCTAAAGAGTATTTGGAAGTCTCCTAATTTTATTTTTCTCTATTAATTTAACTTCATTTTATGTGCATTGGCGTGAAGGTTTCAGATCCCCTGGAACTGGAGTTACAGACGGTTGTGAGCTGCCATGTGGTTGCTGGGAATTGAACCCGGGTCCTCTGGAAGAACAACCAGTGCTCTTAACCACTGAGCCATCTCTCCAGCCTTGTCTCCTAACTTTTCACCAACCTGGAACGGCATTCTCCTTTACCCTCTGCCCCTTCTCACTTGGCCTATTAATTAAAATAATTGTTTGTGTATTTTTTGTAACAGGGTGTCTTTGTGTAACCCTCGCTGTCCTGGAACTCACTCTGTAGATCGTGCTAGCCTCAAACTCACAGAAATCTCCCTACCTCTACCTCCCAAGTGTTGAGATTAAAGGAATGCCCCGCCGTGCCCAGGATCCTATTAATTAGTTAATTAATTAATTAGTTTTGTTTTGAATCAGGGTTTGTCTGTGTAGGCCTGGCTGTCCTGGAATTCTGTAGACCAGGCTGGTCTCAGCCTCTGCCTCCCAAGTGCTGGGATTAAAGGTGTGCCACCTGTCACATCTCAAGATTCCAACCACGATCCTGAGCCTCAGAACCTCAGATTGCCTTAAATGGCTCATTATTCAGGCATCAGGGGCTCCCCCTTGCCTATGGTTCAACACAAAGTAATAGTGTTACTTTTCATTCTCTGTTTCCACGTCTCTGGCCCTTGTGTGTCCACAGAGACAGAGGTCTTCAACCTCCTGTTTTTGCACAAACACCTGATAGGTGTTTGTCACAGCAATATATATGCCACCACATGCCACCACATGCCACCACGAGCCTCCTGCAGGCTCCCTCACTCTTGCGTTTGATTAATTTATTTTTTTAAATTCTGCAGTCTATTAATTTACTTTTGAGTCAGGGTCTGATGTTGCCTAGGCTGGCCTCGAACTTGCTAGGTAGCTGGCTTTTTCACATGCAGGAATTACAGGCAGACACCTCCATATCTGTTTTGTTAAAGATGGGGTCTCACTATGTTACCCATGTTCGCCCAACAATCCTGGACCCAAGGGTATCCTCCTGCCTCAGTCTCCAATGCAGCTGAGACTTCAGATGCAAGCCTCTGTGCCCGGCCATTGTCCCATTTAATAGGTTAAAAAACAAAAGGTTCAAAGAGATTCCCAACAACCTCACCAACAGTAATAGAACGAGAACCCAGGACTTATGATTCCCACTGCTGCAGCAATACCCAGCTGTCCAGCGGGTTGTGTCTCTCCCTGCCTGTGGCCTTTGTTTACAGCCCTTCCCTTTGTCATTCTTGGATTACAACCTTGCCAGGACCAGGGCTGCATTTCCTGAACCGTGTATTATTTAGTCCTTCTTTTGCAGGATACATAAGACATGTGGCAGATGCTGGGGGTACACTCAATTCTGCACACCCGGAGTGTACACCATAAGCTAAGCTCCATCTTGCCTACTGCAGTGTTAGGTGTCGGGCCTGCGGCAGCTGGTCCAGTGACCTCCTCTGGGGTGTGACAAGTAGTGACCACTAGGTGGCAGTGTGTTGTCATGCCTGGGACCAGAAAAGTCACCCGGGGATGACAAACATGGGGGATGGGACAGAGGTAGCAACGTCAGCTGGTTACCCAGAAAGATTAGGAGGCCCCCCATCTCCTGGAGGGCTTCACATGGCCGGCTCATGTGTGTGTGAGCGCGCGCGCGCATGTGCCTGCCTGCCTGTGTTTCCCTTCACTGTAGTGAGGAGTCCAAGCACAGTTCTCAAGGGCAGCTGAGCTTGGTGTGGGCCAAAGGGACAAGAATATAAAGGAGACCAGGACAGCCAGCAAAATGTGGGTAGAACATGGGCAAAGGGCCGCAGAGCTAAGAAGTGAGGGATCTCTGGAGCTTCGGTGGGGGGAAAAAAAGGATTACTCGGGAGAAAGGGAGCAACAGAGAAAGAGAAACAAAGAGGCAAGCAACAGAAAAGGGAATGAGGAGAAAAACTGGCTGGAGAAAGTAGGTTGGGAGGCTGGAGTGGGAGAAGGGAGCCCCCAGTGGCTGGGAGAGACAGGAACCGTCCTTGGACAAGAAAGAGTCGCACTCCAGCTTGCTGCTGACAGGGGGTTTATTCCGAACCGAGCTGCTGAGCTCTGCTGGCTGCCTGGGCTCTGGGTCAGAGCTGCCTGGGCTCTGGCTCCAGCTGTGGCTCCTGCTCCCGTTCCGGCTCCGGCTCGGGCTCGGGCTCCTGTTCCATCTCTGTCTCCAGTTCTCGCTCCAGCTCCTCTGTCTTACTGGGAGCCGGAGGTGGGTGGATCCTATTCTCTAAGGCGGAAAACCTTCTCCATAGCCACTGTGGGGAAAGATGGAGACAGCAGTGGAGGACAACGGAGGGGAGAACGAAGGAGGAAGGAAAAAGAACGAATACTGAGTCCTACTGCTTTCTTTCCAGCCTTCCCCATCTGGCCCAGGGCGTTCTTTTAGCCTCTTTAAACTCCCCAGCTACAAGGCATTCCCAGTACAAAGGCTCTGGGAGCATACTCAGAATTCACTATCGTTTTCTTCATCGAGGAAGGGGTCTCACACAGCATTCTGAAGTCTGAGGAGAGGGAGCTCTGTCCCTGGCTCACCTGTCTTCTCCATAGGTGAAATCCAAAGATCCCAGTCACCAAAAGGAACAGTGAGAAGGTACCAAGGATGAGAAGGAGAAAGAGATGGCCTCCTTTAAGGTCACCTGAGATTCTCCTTGCACTCCGGGCACCTATGAAGGAAGCACGGGATCAGACATAGGGTCGGGGGCTGAAGAAGGACACCCTGCTACACCCTCCTCCTTTACAGATACAATGAGGTCAGAGAGTTTAAGGGACTTGTCCAGGATCATTCTGCTAGTGAGTGACAGAAATAGGTCAGGCCTAGAGAGCTTGAAGTCAGGTCCCTGACTGGGAAGGAGAAGAGGTGGGGGTAGAGGGTTTGGAAGACAACCAAGGTGACTGCTGTGGAGTTGGGGCCATGGCATTTTAGAGCCTCAGACCTGGGCCAGACTCTGCAATGTGCACTGCTACTCCAAGAAGCTTCTGCCCCTGATACAGCTGGCATTGCCAAGACTCGGAAAGGAACCTGGCCTCCTGCATCTCCAACCTGGGGCCTGGAGAACTCCTGGATGGATTGTTCAAGGGGCGCCACACAAATCTTTCTTGTCCAGATGCTGGGGTTACCTCACACGTCAGCGTCCCCCGGGAGCCAGGTAACCTCAAGGATTGATGAGTCACTGAAAAATTAGAAGGAAGAGCTCCCATGGGGGTCTTGACCCCTTGAATGTTATCAAAGTTGTAATGCCATATCTCTGTCACCTATTTGCATTGGAGATCTGGCTGGCAAAACCTCAGGGGGAAGAGAGCATAAGTCATGAATAAATTCATCTTTGGTTTTGTTGTGTGTTTTTGAGATAGGGTCTCATGTAGCTCAAGCTGGCCTTGAACTTACTATGGAGCCAAAGATAACCTGGAACTCCAGATCCTTCTGCCTCCATCCCGTAAGTACTGGGATCACAGGGGTGTCCCAGCTGGCCATGGGAATCTTAAAACAATGCTCTAGTTTGATTGTTTCCCCTACTCAAAATGTTCCCAACCCTTCAAGACACCATATAAACTCCAACTGGTACTGAAGACCACATGTAAAATTTGCATGCCGGGGGTGTACCTCAGTTGGCAGGAAGCTGCCCTAAAGTGTATGAGTCCCTGGGTCCAGTCCCCAGCACCACATAAACTGGGTGTAGACACGAGAAAATCAGAGGTTAAAGATCCAGTACACATTGAATTCAAGGTCAGCCTGAGCTATGTGAGACCTTGTTTTTAAAAGAAAATAAGATTGGAGAGATGGCTCAGTGATTAAGAGTACTTGCTGTTCTTCCAGAAGACCTAGGTTTGATTCCCAACACCCACTTGGTAGCTCACAATCTTGTCTGCAATTCCAGATCTAGGGGACTGATACCCTCTTCTGTTTTTGTGGGCACTAGCCACAGATGTACAAGTCTGAAAAATACCCATTTACCTTTTTGTTTTGTTTTGTTTGAGACATGGTTTCTCTATATCACAGCCCTGGCCTCAAACTCACAGAGCTCTGTCTGTCTCTGCCTCCAGAGTGCTAGGATTAAAGGCTTGCACAACTACAACCCACCCACCCTCACCCCCGCCTTTTTGTTTTGTTTTTTGAGTCAGGGTTTCTCTGGATAGCCCAAGATATCTTAGAACTTGCTCTGTTCTATAAACCAAGCTGGCCTCAAATGCCGAGATCTGCCTGCCTCTGCCTCCTGAGTGCTGGGATTAAAGGCGTGCGCCACTATCACCCAGTTTTATAAAATACACTTTCAAATAAAATAAAAAGGGAGAGATGGTTCAGAGCTGACTAAGTCATCAGAGTTTACTGTGCTTCCTTCCAAAGGACCCATGTTCAGTTCACAGTACCCACGCCTGGCAGCTCACAATCAACTGTAATGCTAGAGCCAGGGGGTCCAACACTTTCTCCTCATCTCCTTGGATAACCCATGAGCACACACTCACTCACACAGAAACACATACACACAAGCTTATTCTCTTCTAAAATGCTCAGTAGGCCCCACAACTTCCCTGCCTGCCACACAGCTTTGAGGTACCTGAGTGAACTTCATGTTCCTGAATGTTTACAGAACAAGTAAACCAGCGGATTGATTTTCGAGCAGAGCATGCTCAAAGTTAACTAGAAACGGGGTGGTAGTAGACAAATGGTAAAGGGCCTTGACCCTGCTGAGCACGGCAAAACTGGGGGACCTGGTGACACAGACACCCAAGTTTCAAGTTTAAACCCTGATTTGAGCATTTCCCAGCGGTGCGACCTTGAGACCACTCCTTCTCTGTAAAGCGGGAGTGACAGTGTCTAGCCCACTGAGTAGCTGAACACAGCTGACCTTTTAGAAGACACTGGAGGGCTGGTGATAGTTTATCTTAGATGATAGAGATACCTGGCACCATGAAGGCCAGGGTTCAATTCCCAACACCTCATAAATTGGGTTTGGTGGCTGTCTGTCTAGCACTTGGGAGGTGGCTGCAGGAGAATTAGAAATTCAAGACCACCCTTCACTATGTAGTGAGTTTTAGGCCAACCTGGGATAGATCAGACTGTGTCAAAAATAAAAAAAGGTAGTGAGGAAGAGGGGGACATCAGAGGTCAGGCATGGTGGGTCACACTGTAATCCCAGCACTTGGAGGTAGAGGCAGAAAGATCACAACTTCAGGAGTTCAAAGTCAACCTCAGAGCCTCAGATATTTAGCCAGCAAGACTCTGGCCATTTACACTGGTCAGGAGAATGGGTGGCTTTGAGAACGGACTGGATATGGCAAAGCAGGTTTAGGGATGTGTGGAATTCCAATGGATTTACTAACAGGCTGAGTAAGCAAAAAGACTGAAGGGAGAAGATGAGGTTCCCAGTGAAGCTGAGGGGTAGAGTCAACACAGTACCTAGACAGAGTTAGAGAAAAGGCGCGTAGGATTCAGGGCTAACATTCTAGAGATATGTTGCTTGTTAGTTCGCTTACTTAGTCATGTAATCAACATTCGTTTGTTTTGAGACAGGATCTCAAGTAGCCCAGGCTGGTCTGGAACTCACTTCTGTACTTGAATTCCTGATCCTCCCGCAAAGTGCTGGGATTACAGCAGTGTCTCACCAGTGACCATCACTAAGCGCCTCCTGTGCGGTTATTGGCCACAGGTGAATACCGCCGACACAGCTAATTATCATGGCTCACAGCTACCAATCAATGAACACATACTTTCTGATTTTTTTTTTTGCCTGTTTTTGTTTTTATATTGTCTTGGAAAACCCTTACAAATATTTATTGACAAGGGACTGATTTATTAGCCCCTTCCAAATCCAGGTCAACTCCCACAACTTTAACCAATCCCCAGACCAAGCAAACAAGGATTTGAGAATACATGCTGCCTCCTCTGAGCTTTTATCATCTGTTTCTAACTTTTCAGACCTCCCGCCAATTCAGAGTAGGGGAGTCCCTTAGAGAAGAAGTGGGATTTTTATTTTGTGACTCAAGGGGAGATTTTCAGTTTCAGTTTTGTTTTTTGTTTTGTTTTATCATTGGGGTGAAGGAAAAAAAAAAAAAAAAAAAACAGCCCATAAATCCGGCATGGTAGTGCATGCCTTTAATCCCAGCGCTTGTCGGACCTCCAAGTGTGGCCAGGGATACACAGAGAAACCCTGTCTCGAAAAGGAAAAACAAAACAAAAACAAAAACAACCAGCCCATAATTTGACAGACACAGTAGTACTTGTCTGTAATCCCAACATTTGGGAAGTGGAAGGAGGATCAGGAGTTGAAGACCATCCTAAGATACAGCAGCCTGGGCCACTTGAGAAAGGCACCTGCCATGCAAATCTGGAATCCCAAATCCAATCCCTATAATTCAAAGAAAGGTGGGTGGAAAGGACTAACTCCAAAGTTGTTCTGTGACCTCCATGTGTGCTGAGAAACATACACCCATCGTATTCATATTCTCTCTCTCTCTCTCTCTCTCTCTCTCTCTCTCTCTCTCTCTCTCTCCCTCTCTCCCTCTCTCTCTCTCTCTCTCTGTCTCTCATAAAAATTATAAAGAAGTTACAGCTTGAGTCGATTGACCCAGCATCATGGAGTACATATGTACAGCCCCTGACCAACCAACACTCCCACCCTGCTCTCTCCCCTGGAATGGAAGCTATTCCTTTCCCACCTGTGGCTGACCTGTGATGACTGCCAAAGTGACAATGGCACTGAGCTGCTGCCCCTGCAGATGGATGCTACAGGTGTAGGTTCCAGCCTGCGCCAGACTCACAGCCTCAAGTTGAAGGGTAAAACTGCCATTCTTTCCGGTCACCAGGTGCTTGGGGCCTCCCCCAGGAGGAGTCCACTTGGCAATGAGTGAAGAAGAGGTCCCCACACCCGGGGGCAAGTGACAAGGCAGCTCAACCCTAGAACCTGCAGCAGCATACACTGTCAAAGGAGCCAGGGGCTCAAGACCTGGAAAAGGAAAAGCCAAGATCAATGCCCAGGGGTGGTTACGCAGTGCAATAGAGGGCAGGAATTTCGAGGAAGGAAGGAAAGAAGGAAGGAAGGGAGGGAGGGAGGGAGGGAGGGAGGAAGGAAGGAAGGAAGGAAGGAAGGAAGGAAGGAAGGAAGGAAGGAAGGAAGATAGGCAGGCCAGGCAGGCAGAGGGTGAAGCAGGTACTTTGGCTGTAACACAAAGAAACAGAATGAAGCAGACAGACCAGGGAAACTGGAAAACCCATGCTGTGTTGAGCCAGCAGGAGACCAAAGGCTATCAGGATAGACAGCTAATGGACAAACTACAGTGAGAGGTGGCAGCTAAGACTCCCACAGAGGAAAGGCATGCCACACTGAGACACCCCAATCTGAAGTGACCCTGCAGCTGAGAACCTGCTTGGGGGGATGCATGAGTCAGGCGAGGGGGGGGCAGGAAGGGGGTGGGTTGTGGTCAAGAGTAATGACGGCTTGGGAGAGTTACCCAGAACCTTGAGGTTGTATGTCATGGAGACATTGAAGCCATCTCTGTAGGTGAGGACGCAGCCCCAGGTTCCGGAGTCCAGGGGACTGACTTGGGGGAGAAAGAGGAAACCTTCAGCTAAGTAATGATGGGGAGACTTCTGGACAGGAACTCGGCTCTGGCCCTGGAACCAGTGCACAGAGACTGGGCGGTCAGGACGACTGAAGGAGCAGTTCAAAATGACCCAATCAGACGGCCTGAGGGGTCCCGAGGGACTGGCAGTCACTGTGAGGAAGTAAAAAAGGACCGATGAGTCGCCTAGATGGAAACCCTTTTGTCAATGCAGCCAGCCAAACCAAGCTGAGAACTCATGGACACAGGGACATTGTGTTCCGATTCTCCATACAGTCGGTCTCCCTTTCCAACTCAGTGTTTGATGCTGCTTAACAAGGATCTCCAAGAGACCTGGGACTCCTCTCCACTATCTCCTGCCTCCACTTTACTTGGTCTGTTTTTGGGGGACACCTTGCCTGAGGATGAGCTACGGATGTCATAAATGAATCACTCTAGACCCCCGAAGTAAAGGTGCTGCCCTCCCACCTCTACCTCCACCAGGGAGGGCACTCCGGCTGTAGGTGGGGGTAAGGGACCCGGGGTGTGTGACACAATTCCTCCGTAGCCCCCCTCACCCCCGCCTAGAGGCAGGCATTTCGGGAGGGGCACTTTCCACCCTGCCATCAAGCGGCCACCCCTTCTTGAACACTTCTGGAGGCCCACAGGCGGGGTCTAAGGCACCACCCTTGCCACAGCTCTTCCTGCCTCTGCCTCAGCCTCGGGGCGACAGGGACCAGCTTCCCAGCCCCTCTCCCTTTGTCCCGCCCCACCTACTCGAGGCCTGGCCGATGCGCAGGCGGAGATGGCACGAGAGGGTGCGGTCCGGGAAGCGCACCGCGGCGTGGTACTCGCCAGCGTCGGCGCGCAGGGCTGGACGCAACCACAGCGAGAAGTCCCCGCGCTGGAGGCCGCGCTCCTCCAGCTGCACGCGGGGATGCAGGGGCAGCCTCCCGCTGCGCAGGCCTCCTGGAGCCATGCTCAGCACCGTGTAACGACGGGGTGCCGGGCTCCCGGGCGAGGGCATCCCCTTGAGATGGTCAAGGACAGAGGTGGGAGCGGGTTGGCCACTGGTGGAGGGCAGGAAGAACAGGACTGAGAAATTCCGGGGCAATTTGAAAAAGCCATAAGGAAGATGCACTCCAAACACTCTAAGGATAAGGCAACCGGCCTAAGAGAGCGCTTGACCATTTGCAGTCTCCCCCCTCCACCCCTGTCCCCACTTCCAACTGCTACTGGAGAGGTCGCCGACTATGGACCTCAGGTTGCAGAGAAGTCACAGGAAGGCTGTGTGAGGAAACTGAGCTGCTGGCTTCAGAGGGACACACAGAGGGGACAAAACTGGCTTGGATGGGGTTTTATCAGAATGCCATTAAAACCGAATTGGGAGGATCCGTTGCCCAACTTTGGGGTGCATACCCATCTGGTTGATGCTGCCAAGTGACCCATACTCTTCGCAGAAGGTTGGGATTCTGGTGGGGGAGTTGGGGGCTGCAAGGAAGATGGACAGGAGCCCCCTCCTGGGCCCACACCACGGAGTCCTCTTTCCCAGTCTCTGAAGCCACGACTAGTGGAGCAAAAGAGAGGCCAAGGGCTATGAGCCAAAGATTTGAGAATAGAGAAAAGGCCTTGAGGTTCCCAAGACAGAAACATCATTCCTCGACTGGGAGACTGAGGCAGCTTTGGGATTGGAAGGACTGCCCCTTAAAAAAGGCATTAGAAGACCACCACAGAACTAGACACAGGTCATAGAGGTCCCCTGCTGGCTTCTCCTCAACTCCCGTCTTACCTGGATCTTCCCACAGCAGTCTCAGAAGCAATAGGCCTAGGAGCAGAGCCTGGCTCATCTCCTCTATGGCCTGGGCCTCCCCAGCTCTCCAAGGGAGGTCAGAAAGGGGTCCTGGGAGGGGAAAAAAAAAAAGTGTTCTACAGGAGAGAGGAAAGGCAGAGAAAGAATGTAAAGAGGATCACCAGGAGGGGGTTGTCTGGAGAGAGAGCAGGAGGACCAAAGACCAGAAGTTGGAGAGCAAAAATAGCAGGCTAGATGGGGGTGGTGGGGAGACACACCCCTGGGGCCGGGGGCAGAGAGCAGAGTGGAGACAAGGCCACTGAGTGAGCTGGGATGCTGATCTGCGGCCCTGGCCCAGGCCTTCCCTTCCACCTTCCCCACTTCCCCTCCCCACCGCCCGCCCCCCAGCCCAGGGCTCTGGGTTTCGATTCGCAGTGGAAAGAGAGAGGGGGCCGGGGGCCGATTCCCAGCAGGGCCCTCAGTGTCTGTTGTGGCGCTCCCCTTGTTTACTTCCTCCGACTCGGGTCTCCCCACCGCCCCCTCTTCATCTCTTCCCCCCCCCCAGTCCTCTCCCCTCCCCTCTTGGGTTCTCTGCTAAGCTCGTCTGCCTAGAATGACAGCTGTAACTCTAAGCTGCCTCCTATGTCCCCACAGTCACACTTTCTTCTTGGCAAATCTTTCCCATTAACTTCCAAGAACTGCCCCCGAGAGGACTGCCTGCCTAGCCTCAGCATCTCCTGGACAGGTACACAGGAAATGTCACCATACCACAAGTTAGCAGGTCTGAGGAAGGGCTTGGTGGCAGAGGATAGTAGCTACATGGTGTCAATCTTCACTCTATGCTACTTATAGTATGACACATTTTCCATAAAGCAACTTGTGAAAATACAATGAGGAAACTGAGGCCCACAGGCACTAAACAGCTTGTCAAGGTTAGGGGGCATGCCCTAGTCCTAACCCTGTTTGCATCCTGTAGTGGCTTTTCATCTTCTAGAAGAGGATAAAGATGGTATACTTGTTTTAAAGATTTATTTCTACTGACATGAACGCTGCCCAGAGGCCTGAAGAGGGTGGTGCATTCCTTGGAACTACAGTTACAGGTGGCTTGTGAGCTGCCCAATCTAGATGCTGGAAACCAAACTCGGGTCTTCTGAAAGAGCAGCAAGTACTAGTAACTGATGAGTTCATCAGATAGTTATCTCTCCTGATGATAGGATACTTTACCATCTTCAAAGTCCCCCCCACACACACCTAAAGACTCTGTGCTGAAAAATGAAGGCAGGGGTTTATAGAGATGGAATAATGCAGAAATCTTGTAGCAGAGCAAACTCAAGAATAACTGAGGAGTCAAGAGAGGTGGCACGTAACTGTAATCCTATATTTTGGAAGGTGGGGGGAGGGATGAAATGAGTATCAGGCTTGCCTGGGCTACCTAGTGAATTTAGAGACATCGTGGGCTGTAAGCTGTTCCTTGTGTCAACACCACCAACAACAAAAGACCTCTATCTCAGCACCCAGAAGGCAGAGGCAGGCAGTTCTCTGTGAATTTGGAGCCAGCCAGGACTGTACAGTGAGACTGTCTTGAAACAATGGGATCTGACTCCTGCTCCCCAGCTCAGCCCAGCTGAGAACATCAGAGGACATGTGACAAGGAGACAGACTTGATAAGCAACTCTGCAGTCCTCCCTTGCTTAAGAGGACTCTGCTCCCCACATGTCAAAACACGTCCATGCTTGGTAGTTCTTTCCAAAACCTTAGCAGAGCAGACTCAAGCCTACCAGTCTCTTCCACTTTGGGGCGGGACTTCCTGTTTCTAGACTTTCTATCTGCCTGGTTCAGCACAACGGGGGCTGGTAGCTTTCCACTGGGCTCAGCAGTGTCTAGATCTTGTGTGGGTTCACGTGCTAGTGTGCATTACTGAGGAGCATCCCCAGGAACCCAGAACACAAGTCAGCTCCCAGAGGCAGACCTGGGTTCCCAGTCCACCCCTGGAGGTCTCATCGTGTCTCCTATGATCTGGTTATGAGGTCAGCCACCCTTTCTCTACCCTTTCAGGATCTGACCGGACTCTGGGAAATCAGGAGACAGGTTAAAAACAGAAGCGCGACCGTTTCTTTATTAAATTATACAAAAAGGGGAGGGGGGCAGCTTCGGGGCTTGGCCCCAACCCCGGCCCCACCCCGGCCTGGCGCTGTCTGAGAGGAGGGAATCTGAGGGAGACCCAGGGATCAGGCAGGAGAAAGAAGGGCAGGCTGAGAGGCTGGGGTGCCGAGGGTAAGGAGAGGCTTTCCAAGGACCGGGACACATGGGATGGTGAGGGAGGCAGGGAAGAACAAGGAAAGCAGGGGGGCAAAGTGAGGGCTGGCGGGGGAGCTCAGGTGAGTGGATCAGGAGCTGCAACGACGGCAGTGAGGGCGGAGGAGCAGTGTCTGGAGAGATGGAGACGAGAGACTGGGCGGAAGGACAAGGGTCACAGCTCTGGGGCAGGGCCAGAGCAGGGAGCCAGGAGAAGGGGGGCTGTACTTGTGTGTTCCTGCCCCACCTCCAGGACCTGAGGGGCCTCCCATCCCCAAGCCCACTGGCAGGGGCTCATGCCGACGCCCCATTTTCTGTCTTCTGCCTCTTGGGATCTGCTTCATCCTGTGGAAAGGATAAAAGCTGAGGTAGCTGTGTGAAGGAGACCACCCCTGCTCCTGCTGGTCCTGCTCCAGCCCCTGCCTGTGCCACAAGGACCTGGGTCCAAATCCAAGGGGCACCCAGCCCCTGCTATATTCTTGACAGTCCCTCAGGTCCCGACCCAGTCAAACCTCCTCTTCAGCAGTTCTCTTCCGCACAGGGCCTTCATCCTCCTCCTCCTCCTCTTCCTCATCTGAGGAGCCAGAAACAAGTCATTGGGGAAGGATGGGAGGCTCCGGGCACAGACCCACAGTGACCCAAAGGTTACCCTCAGCCTGGCTTCTGTCTTCAACTGCTCCCTCACTCTGCTCCTTTGAGCCCCAACCTTCCCAGCCCAGCCTTCCTGCCCCTCCCTACCTTCTTCATCCCCCTCATCATCATCCTCGCCATCCTCAGCAGTTTCTTCTTCCTCCTCCTCAGCTCCGTTCTCCTCCTCCTGTGGGGATCAAGACAGGGAGCCCTGTCAGGATGGCTGTGTTGCCACTCACTGGATGATGGAAGGACTCAGGGAAGGAATGAGGAGAGATCAAGAGAAAGGCAGGACCCCAACACCCCCAGGAAGGTAGGAGCGAGGGAGGAAGGATGTTGGGGCAAATGGGATCATCTTCTGCCCGCTGTCTCCATCCATTACCTCCACTACTTCTTTCTTCCGTTCTTTCCGGCCAGCCTTCTCCTCCACTTTCTCCTTCTTTTCCTTCAGGTCCTGTAAGGCAGAAGGTCACCTTTCTCTCAGCACTAATGATGCAGCCCTCGAGTACCCCAGCCTGTTTCTCCAACTCTGCAGCTAGGTCAAAGGTGTTGAGTGATGGTGGCCACAGCCTAAGGTGCAACAGACGTAGTCCTCAGGCCCTTGAATTTGGGTCATTACTGGCTGATGGCAGAGACCTCCTACCGCAAGACCCAAGGGGAGTGGGAAAGCGATGATAAAAGGGGAGCAAGCAGCCAAGAGTAGCTGAGGCGCCCACCCCATCAAGTTCTTCCAAACCTCCCCTGGCCCTAAGACTTCAGCTCCACAAAGCAAATCCCCCATCTGCTGGCAGCCTCGATGCCCCACCCCCTTCACCCTCTCTGCTTGCTCTGCTCTGCCTTTTGTCTACCTCAGGGGCCTTTGCCTAAGTACTCTCTCCCCTGGGCATCCTCCCAGCTTCCCCTTCAGCTTCTAAGGCCTTTGTTTCCCTGTCTGTGTCTCCCTAATCCTCCTGTTCCTACTTGGCCGAACAGCACAGGGACGTGAAGATCACCCTAGCCTATTCCCACATCCGTTCCTAAACCCAGCGACAGTGTGCCCTCCTCTTCCCTACCATGGGATATGGACTGGGATGGCGGAAGAGGAGAAATGGCCATTTTCAGTGGAAATAAAGGTAAAGTCTGCTAAAAGAAACATTCAGAGGAAGGAGAAAGCAGGGCGAATAATGTCTGTGCCTGGATGGGATGGGGGAGTTACCTGTCCAGAGGCCCCTCCCACCAGGCTGTCTTTCCCCTCCATTCCAAGATCCCAGCATTGCTGGAAGCCCTGTTCTATCCGACAGAGGAGATGCGCCTGTGGGTGAGCCCCTCTGGGCATCCCGGCCTCCCTATGCCATGTAGACTCTACTTTTCTCCCTATCACACTCCCTGGCAGGTGCACATTCTCCTATGCTCTTATCTAATGTCCGTGTCCAACTCTGCGTGCAGGATCCCAAGTGGGTTAGAGTTTTCCTAAGTAGATCACCCCAGAAGGATGTGTCCTTTCTAGAACAAGACCGGGTAGAAGAGGGACTTGGTGCCAAACGACTGGCCTGGAGACACTCGGCTCTGTTCTCCCTTTTGGAGAACTTGACCCTCTCACTCCAGGCAGGTTTCTTCTTATTCTGCTTTGTTGTCATTTCTGTCACATGGTGGGTCTGGGCTTGTACTACCAGGTGAGCTTTTCCTTACATCCTCCCAGTCCAGGCAGTTTAGCTGGAGTCAGGCCCTGGCGTGAGTTTCCCATCGCAGTGACGGAGGGGTAAGGGGAAGGGAGGGAGAGTACCAGGGACCGAAGTCCACAGGGCTGGCCCCTCTCCTCCTGGGTCCTGTCCTTCTGGTCACTGTCCTTCCATGATCTCTGTGCCAGGGGGGTATGTGACCTGCCCAGTGCTAAGCAGCTCTCTGGCCTCTACACGGGTACACAAGCTCACGCAAGCTAACACCAGCTCACACATCTACAGGGGAGCGCCCACGCGCTCTGGAGACACATGGCCCAATGTTTGGGCATTCTGGCACAGTCTTACAGGAGCACAGTGTAGCCACTCGGCACTCACAAAGCGGCGACATGCCTCCGGAACATCTCAGTCTCCACAAGCACACATGTAACTCACACGGGCAGTCCCACACACTCGCTGGATCTCAGACATACAAAGACGCCTACTCAGTGAAGTCACATGCCGCCGCGCAACCCACCGGAGGGCCACACAGGCACACCTTGCCAGATCTCACACGGCCCCCCCTCTCCCACTGCCTTTCACGCCATTAGACTCCCCCCTTCTACCTGAGCCTCCAGAACTATACAGCCCACCCCAAAAAAGGCTAGGCTCCCAGCCCCCAAGCCTGGCCGCATTAATTTCCCTAAGCGACACTCCACAGTTTCCCTGGGGAAATTAGAGGAAGGCTGGAAGACAGACAAGGGCAAACGGATGAGGCCGGGAAAGGCAGCTGCTGCGAGCAAAGGCGGCTTGACGTATGGTCAAGCGATGCTGAGTTTCGGCTTTTTTCGAAGGCTATTATTCTCTCCACCTTTCTGATTTCTTAGGAATTCTACACGAGG